TTCTTTTAACTTAGATTTGGCTGTTTTTTTTTTTGCTAACACTCACACCCTTCCAGGTCCCGAGGACAAGCTGAGGATGGATTTTCAACAGGCATTTTCAACAGCCATCAGGATGGAGTACATTAAGAAGATGCGGCCAAAATACCACAGGATAACCCACCGGCCAGTTACTGGATTTCACGATAGATAGCAGTTTGTTTCAGCGAGCTTAGAAAATTAGAATTATGGAGACGGCGAAGAAAATTAATTTACAGAAATTCCTTATCACTGACCAAGAATCAAATAAAATTATCAAGAAAAAGAAATAGAAGTTTGGAAGATCAGAAGAAATAGAAGTTTGGAAGATCAGAAGAAATAGAAGTTTCCGTTTCTATTATTGGATTTGGTTTAGACGAATTTTCGGAGCTGAAGAAATCTGATTAACGAAGTAGAAGAAACCGATACGAAAAAAAAGAAAAAAAAAAATGATTGGATGATGGACGTGAAGACGAAGAGTATTTACAGAAATTGTTTACCACTGGCCACGAATCAAATGCGATTATCGAGAAATAGAAATAGATGTTTAGAAAATTAGAAGAAATAGAAGTTTTCGTTTCTATTATTGGATTTGGTTTGGACGAATTTTTGAAGAGAAAAAATAACGATTGGAAATATGTGAAGAATGTCATTCAACGCGACAGGCTTTCGTCATACCCAACAAATTATGAAAAGCTGGATTACGAGGAAGGCGAAGAAAATTTACAGAAATTGTTTACCGCTGGCCACGATTCAAATGCAATTATCGAGAAATAGTAAAAAAAAAATGTAGAAGATTAGAAGAAATAGAAGTTTTCGTTTCTATTATTGGATTTGGTTTAGACGAATTTTTGGACCCGGAGAAATCTGATTAACGAAGTGTAAGAAATCGCTACGAAAGATTGAACAGACAAAACAAAAAATGATTGGAAATATGATAAAAATGTCATGCAACGCGACAGACTTTCGTCATACTCGAAAAAAATTTATGGAAAGCTGTATTACGAAGATGAAGATAATTTACAGAAATTGTTTACCCTTGATCATAAAATGAAAAATTAAAGTCGAATCCAAGTATCGAGAAATAGAAGTTACTTTTAGGCGTTTTTGTTGGATTAATGTTCGGATGGATCATTGGAACTTGAAGAAATTGCTATACAAAATAGAAGAAGAAATGATTGGAACGATATTCTAAATAAATTAAATGAAATGTAGAAATTGTTCGATTCTCTTTGGAACGCCAAGCTTTCTAATTGAGAGGACTAATTGTGTTAACAAAAAAAAAAAAAAAAGAAAAAAACAGCAAAATCTAAGTTAAGAGAAAAATAAATTTTGTAAATGTGATCGAAAAGGAAACAGAAGCCTGTTAAATGACATAACATCAACGATGAAATAAAATACTGCCACAATAAATGATCATACTGTTTTGAAAATTACGACAAGATGTTCCAACACATGAAGAAGAACATGATTAAACAATTATAGATAGATAGTTCTGTTGGAGTGAATAAAGATTTGAAACTGAAGAAAATTGGTTGATCCAGGAGTGAGAGCCAGAATTACAACTGGAGACTAAATAAATGAAAATTATTAGGAATAAAAGGAAACCATCTTCTCGATACCTGAACGAATGGAATGAGATATACTGTTGTAAATAGTTTTTATTACCAATGAAGCTTAAGAGAAGACTAATAAAGCCTGTTAAATGACATAACATCAACGATGAAATAAAATACTGCCACAATAAATAATCACAAAAACCACGACAAGATGTTCCAACCCATGAAGAAGAACACGATTAAACAATTATAGATAGATAGTTCTGTTGGAGTGAATCAAGTTTTGAAACTGAAGAAAATGCAAAATTAAAGTCGAATACAATTATCGTGAAACAGAAGTTACTTTTAGGCGTTTTTGTTGGATTAATGGGATGGATGGGATTTTTGGAACTTGAAGAAATTGCTATACGAAATATGCAGGAGTGAGACTCGGAATTGAAACCGAATACTAAATAAATAATAATTATTAGGAATAAAAGGAAACCATCCTCTCGATACCTGAACGAATGGAATGAAGATACATTATTGTAAATAGTTTGTATTGCCAATGAACCGTGAGGTGTTTGAAAATTTCCATCTAATTTCGTTTAAAATGTTCCATAATGTCGAGATCCGAATATCCGAGTTATTCGGATTAAAATAGAATACAAAAGTTACAATGCGAAAATCGCTTCTAAAACAAATGTTCAAAACTCTTTCAATGAACATTTACGGATCAGTGACGGAAAAGAAAAAGATCAGTGATAATTAGACTGCGGATCTTTATGCGTTTACAGGAAATTTTAATGTACGAGAAACTACGAAATGCAAACAAAATTCGAAAATATAAGAAAGGATCGAGAGTAAAGTTCGTGTTATTTGGAGAATAAAATAAACTTCTATTTAGGTTCAATGTTTCTAGGCACGTTCGCGAAGTTTTTATTTTCCATAAAGATCCTGCAGTCTAGTGATAATTATTTTATAACATTTGTTTTCGTTTTTAACCCCTGTTCGTTAAGTTTATTCCACGGTTGTTGAATCGTTCGTTAATCGTCGAACAGCGTTACGAAAATCGAAAGTTCTTTGTTGAAGAAACCGTTGTTTGTTTTTGTTAAGTTTATCGCGCGCTCTCTCTTGTTCTCGTTAATGTTAACGCTACGTCGAAGTTAAATGTTAAATCCGACAAGACTCAAGTTACGTTTGTGTTTCACGTTACGTTTTTGTTTTACGTTTAAAAAGAAACTAAAAAAAAAAAAAAAAAGAAAAGAAAAGAAGAAGAAAAAAGAAAGAAAAAAAATTTGAGAAAAATATTCTACGTTGAAGGTATCGGATAATCCAGCACGTATAATTTAAAAATTAAATTGTGCGTGGAAAGTCATTCATTGATGCTTTTCGCGTAAAATGCGCACGGAAGTATACGAAAATCCTGTTTCTGTTTCTGTTTGATGAAAATGTTTTCCATTGTTCGTTGTTTCGCAAAGAAAACTTTCAACCGTTGATATTTGTTACCGAGTTACGTTAATCGTTAACTGCAAAAAAAAAAAAAAAAAGAAAATAGGAAAAAAAAGTTGTTTCGAGTTACAGATATTGTTTTTCTGTTTCTTTTTTTTTTCCATTGGTTTTCACCGCAGTGCCTTCAGTTTGTTGTTTAAACGATCGTTCGTGAAAACCGTAAATGCGTGACCGAATGCTAAATAGTGTACGAACGTGTTTGAAAGATGCTCACGATGTATGAAAGAATCGATGATCGATATCGATTCGTTCATGTATTCGTCGACGAGTTGCCGAATTAATTTTAACTATTTTAAGCTCGGTGGATCGCTTCGTCGCAACTTTATTGAACTTACGCCGCTGTTCGTCGTAGAACAAATGAATGAAGGAAATTAATTGATTCGTCTGTTCGTTTATCGACTATCCGATTCGTTCGTCGGATCGTCGATGGATCTGTTTCGGTACACGCGTGTATTCAGTAAAACAATAGTTCAACGAAGTGATTCGTCCGAACGAATCGCTAATAATTATTCGTTGATAGATTCGTGTGCGAGTTGAACCGTATAGCCTGTAATTAATTTGCTTGCTACTTTGTGCTGCGTGCGTATGAGTGAATTTTTTTTTAATTAATACTCCCCCTCTCGAATAGTTACGATAACGATTCAACAGTTCGATCTAAACGCTGTAAACATTAATGAACAACGAGAGAAGAATTTACTTCTATTGTGCGTGCATTTATCATTTGGATTAGAACGTTCTAATTGTTCGATGAAGTATTTCTTATGTAAAATGTACAATAAAAACGCGTAAATATTTCAAGTGGATGCATTTGCTTTGTTTCCCTATTTAATAGTCCCTTCCTATAGAATTCGTTATGTTAATCGGTTCAAGTATAATTCGACGATGAACGATTTTAATTAGACTCTTTCCTATCGTCCAAGTGAACTTGTTACTTCTTGTATAATTTATACCAGGCAACAATAAAGGAAAC